GAAATATATTTATGTTTGTGGTTGTAATGTGACAAAATATGGAAAAGTTCAAGGGGTATGAATACTTTTGCAAACCACTGTAAATCTGTGGATCTGTGTTTGATTACTCTACCTGGCTTTCTCAAGGACCAGGATGTGACACAAAMATCTGAATTATGGAACTGAAAGTGAAAGTAGTCAAACTGAACTTTTAAGAAACCAAAATACAGTTTCAAAGAAAAATAATTCAAATACAAATATTTAAATTCAGTTTCAATTCTGTGAAATTTGTTTTCAAACCAATAAAATCAATTTCAAATTATTCACATTCAGACTGAATCTGAGCAATTCAAATTCAGTTCCTGCTGGCACAAGATTGATCCCATTTGGATGAAGATGACTGTCTGCAGTCCTGACCTGAACCTGATAAAACACCTTCATGATGAATCAGAGCAGAGACTGAGACAGACCTTCTGTCCAACATCTGTATGTGACCTGACAGATGTGCTTCTGGAAGAACGGTCAAACATCCCATAAACACTCCTAAAGCTGGTGGACAGAAGAGTTGAAGCAGTTCTAGCTGCAGATGGACCAACGTCACATTGAACCCTATGGATTAGGAATGACAGGTACCTGAAGCTCATATGTGAGTCAAGGCAGGTGAGCCAATACTTCTGGTAATATAGTGTGCCTGTGAAGAAGTCAGGTGTGATGTGCACACAGTCACAGCTCAGAAAGGAGGATGTAAAACGCAGTAGAACATAAAACTACTGCAGAAGCAGCCATTTGAAACTTCACTCTGAATGACATCACACTACTAAAAACCACATTTACACATTCAAATTATTGTTATTTAGGTTGCACAACTGGTTCATACCTCACAATCTTTCCAAATCTCAGGGTCCGTCTCCCCACTGTCCTGGATCTCTTGTACCAAGGCCCTAAGGGTCTCAAGGGAGCTTGGGTTGATAAATGGAAGGATCTTCTCTTGTTCGAAAACTTCATCTGTGCTTATACGAAAACTCCTGTTGAAAAATTGTACAAAGATTAACTGTAATACACACACAAACATACAATACTTTCTAATGGGAAATATATGAGTTTTGTGTAAAATCTAAAATAAAACAGAATGCAATGTTTTCCAAATCTCAAAAACCCATCTGTTATTCACAACTGAACATAGTAAATACAGTGGGGAAAATAAGTATTTAGTCAGTCACCAATTGTGCAAGTTCTCCCACTTAAAAAGATGAGAGAGGCCTGTAATTGACATCATAGGTAGACCTCAACTATGAGAGACAAAATGTGAAAAAAATTTGAGAAAATCATTTTGTCTGACTTTTAAAGAATTTTTTGCAAATAATGGTGGAAAATAAGTATTTGGTCAATAACAAAAGTTCGCCCATTCCTCCATGCAGATCTCCTTTAGAGCAGTGATGTTTTGGGGCTGTCGGCGGGCAACACGGACTTTCAACTC